TTCAAATCAAACTGTCGAACTAGACCGATAGAGCGAATAAAATCCTTGAACTTATATATCTATATTTAACACTACACTGTTTATCTTAACTGATTATCTATCATTCAATGAAAGTATGATTTTCAGTGTTTGAAACCCGATAAAAAAAATTTTTTTCTCTGTCAATTCAGAATTTATGCTTGACCTTATTGAAGCTTCCTGTGTTTAAATGAACAAATGAATGAATGATTGCATGAATGAAATAGGAAACATTCAAGTTATCTAAAAATAATCATCAATGACACCACAAATAGAGATAACATTGATGATTTGACCAACTTCTAATTCTCTCTCTCTCTCCCCCTAATAAATATTATGGTTAGGCGTTCGCGCACAATACCGAAGGTCCCAGGTTCGAATCCTGCCAGGGGGCAGGAGTCGTGGATGCGCATTGCCACTTATGAGTCTCATACTAGGGCGAAACGGCCATTTAGTGCTTCTTCAAGGTTTCTAATGGTGGTCTAACAATGATTGATTGATTGATTGGTGATTTCAAGTGTGTGAAAACACACAAACCTCCAAAACTCTGTCTGAACATATTAGTTTATCGTATAATGTGTATATCATGTACTGAAACGTATGATGATTTTTAAGAAACATGGAAGAAGAAGAAAGGAGAAAGTTCATGAAATTTTCTCAACCGGTTTTTCCAAACACCATGGAGGTTCTCACAAAAAAAATCAAAATTAGTACAAGCTTAAGAATAACCATGACCTCTCTTTCCTTTTAGTGTGTAGTGCCTCCACATATAATATTCCAGTTCGCTTACATCTAACTTGGTTAAGCCCTTTCGATTAATTTATTTAACCAAGCCATTTGTATAGCAACAATTTATATGTACCATTCGTTCTTATTATTATCATCTGGTTTGTATGAGCTCACATGACATGTCCCACTTGTCAATCATTCGTCGCTTTTATTCATGTGTGTGTGCATGTCTATTTCGCTTGTCATATGTCTGTCTTCTATTTGTCTGACTATATATTCTTAGTCATGTTCTATATCTTTGAGTTGGCTCACTAGCCTTCTCCACTTCGCTTCGCCCATTGTAACCCAGGGAATTGGCTCAAAAGCATTCTCCAGTTCATGTCGCTTCATTCGTTTCATTCACTGCTTCTCCGCTTCGCTTTCTGGTGTGTCCCAAAAATAAACGTATTCTTCACTACGAATTCATCTTTTGATTTATAAACCGTCAGACGCTATTTGGCAACGATTGTCTGAACGAGTTACTTACCGAGCTTAAGAACACACGCAGTAAATCGACACACTACAAGTGAAAATAGAGAACAGTTTAACGAAGAATTATGATTTCTTGAAACGTAATCAAATAACTATTTGAATGATTGTAGATAAATTGAATTGAACTATGCATTAAATCACGATTAGAAAACTGGAAACACTAGACAGTCGCTACATTCTGGTATAGGACTTATCAACAACACTGAACATCCATGACTCCCGTTACTCGCAGGATTCAAAACCAAGACCTTCAGTCATACCCGCGAACGAACGATTGAATTGTAAACCAATGAGCTAGCATCCAACGATGTTAATGTTGAACTTCAATCTCATGGTGGACTAACATTGATCGATTCATTATTTTTTTTAATGAAACTCAACTATCTCCACAACCACATAATGTAAATTATCATGTTCTCACTAATGACTAGCTCCGTGTGGAAGTTCATCGCAGTTCTGATGAGAAGTTGTGACTAGTAAAGATGAACTTTCTTCGGGAGTGAAACAGTGCCCACCGAAGACAGTGAAATGATCAAGTCAAGGCATAAACGTAGTCACATGACGGCTCATCGGTACAGATGTTAAGCTTTTGTATGCAAGACTTAAGGTCTTGTGTTCGATCCTCGTGAGCCGAAGTCGTCGATCTGGATTGCCGATGAGTCACTTACTAGGATGAAATGGCAGTTCAATGTTTCCAGATTGTTAATGGTGGTTTAACAATGATCGTTTATTGATTCCAGAGTAACTCAATAATCTCCACAACCCTATGAGATATGTAAATGTCTCCACAAAAAGAAAGCATTTCAGTAGTATATAGTAGGCTATGATTAAAGTAACTATTTCTACCACTTCCGAGTTACTGTTAAATTTTTTATGTTTAATTATTAAAATTTCAGTGATAAATGTTTTGAACAAAAGATTGAAAGATTTGCTATTCAAGTGCCTATGTTTGATTTCAAATACTTAATGAGCGGGTAGATATGAATACATACATCGTATGTTTTAAGTTACCATGAAAATATTGATCGTATATCAAACAAATCAAGAGCGGCAAAGCAGCAGGAC